TCTTCTGATTGCGGGTGAACCCCTGGACCAGCCTGTTGTGCAGCATGGTCCGTTTGTGGTGACCAGCAGCCAAGAGTCCCGGCAAGCGCTCGAGGACTTTTATTTCCACAAGAATGGGTTCGAGAGGGCGGCGGGGTGGGAAAGCCGGTCCTCGAAAAGGCTGGCGAGGTCGTAGATGGATAGGAGTACGGGTCACAAGCTTTGAGATAATACAGAACTGGTTTGAACTTGCCTGTTGAGCTCGCTCCCTGATCACTCCTTGCCTTGCGGAGTTATAAAGCAATGGCACAAGGAATTCACGTTGTAGAGAAAGTCGGCACCAGAGAAGATCGGGTAATTGGGACTTCCATCTCGACCTATAGTCGCGCGGAACCGTGGGCAAGAGAACCACCACTAGCACGACCATCTGACAATATCGTACCGACTTACAACATTGCTGAAAAGGAACAGTACGCAATCTCAAGCCAGGAGAAGCGTGTAAGTCCAACGAATCGTGAAAACCCAGCAGCCGAAGACATCACGCGCACTCAAACACTTGGTCTTCCCTTCACCTGTCCCAACGAGAATATGTTCATGAGTTGTAGTATTGACGTCTGGAATATACTCGAGCAAGTCTTCAAGACCTAGCTCTCGAGAGGCATGAGCATACATGAAGAGAGAGAACAAGAAAAGAAGCCCTGCCAGCACAGCTACACAAACCCACCAAAGACCTGTCCACCATATATAGTAGCATTCTCGCCACTGTAAGAAAAATCGTCGCCTGCCAAATCCAAGCCTTTCCTTCCCATGATTACCTAACGACGCCACTGGACCGCTCGCTATGCTTCATTGTAGGCGGCCAAGCCAGAGAGAACAACTGATCAAGAGTTTTTTTTTCCCTGTCTTGGCTCCATTTCGTTACATCTCTGGCCGGTATAGAGCAAGAGGAAAACGCGGGTATATGTAAGCCACCAAAGAAAAAACCAGCATCACAAAGGGAAAAAAACAGCGATTTCGGACCGCTCCCCATTCCATGACCTGAGCCCTCACCGTCCCGGTCATACGAAATCTCTCACACGTCGTAGAAGTAGTCTTCGTCGAGGCCGTCCCTGCTAGGTATCACTCCGGCGCCTGGTGGCGGCCCGGTATACGCAGCCTCGATTCTCACATTGAGAAGCCTAATCTTGAGCCCAAAGTCGCTCACGAGGTTCACAAGCTTGTTCGTCTCGGCTGTGATGGGGGCTTGGTTGAGCAGCATCAACAGACCGTCAAGCCACTCCGACGCCAGGCTGTGCGAGACCGGGTTGAGAGTCAGGATAGCCTGCTCCTTGGCATCGCCGCCGTTGGCAGCTTCCGCGGGATTGGCGTAGCTGAAGATGGTGATCTTGGTTGTCGATTTGACTGTCACGTTGTTCTTGAGCGTCGAACTACTAGTCGCGCTGCGGCTTTCCTCATTGGAGGCTGACACATTGGACACGACTGAGCTGATGGTGCTGAGATCGACCTTTTCCGTCAAAATGTCAAGGCCCGGATCCTGTGCTGTTTGTGCCTCGAAGTCGGCGTAGTGTAGGTACCGGCGATTGTGTGAGAGCTTAGCGAACCGCCAAGGGCGCGGCGTATACAAACGGCGCTTGAGGTTCTCGTCTCTAGGGTTGGTGTCTCGCCGCGGTAGCGGCTTGGAGAACCAAGATCCCTGGAGCAGACATCGGATCCGCTGCTCCTTCACAAACTGAAGTGCCTCTTGCCTCAACTCCTCACGGACTTGATACAAATGCTGACCCCACTGATCCTCAAACGACAGTTCCAAAAGCTCCATTTGAAGCTCTCGTAGTCTGGTGCAGTCGTACTCAAGCAGCTCCTCCTCGACCTCCAACACGTCCTTGGTCCGGCTTGCCTGGCCGACAACTTGCTCGATGAGAATTCGGACCAGCTCTGCCACCTTTTCGAAATCCAGGTGCTCCGCAGCGGTGGACTTCCATACGCGGAAGAAAGCTTGCAGGCCGGCCGTGTGGAGTCGCGACCACTGGAGGAGGAGCGGACGGAATAGCTTTTCGTTGTTTTTAATACCGTCCAAGCCTTGGTAACCCTTAATGTCCTCAACGTCCGACTTCTCCACCTCGAAATGGTCGTATAGGATCATCGTTACCGCGAGACTTGCCCTAGCGACCGGGCACCTTTCGTTCCTTGCTTTTGTGGATTGTTCCAGAAGCATCTTCTGGAAGCTGTCCTCGTTCTTGCGCACGTAGTCTGTCAGGTCCATCATGCCCAAGAAACCAGGGACCTCAAACTCCTGTGTAGGACTCTCGGTTTCGAAGCCCAGTCTCCTCCATTTCTCAGGGTTGTGACGCCGGCTTCCCTTCTTCCCAAGCTCATTGACCTCGTCCAACCGGTGAATGCCATTGACTTGCTTCTCTGGGTTGCTGGCAAGGTGAAGTCCCTTCAGTCCCCGCCTGTGCTCGGGCCGCTCAAGGTCAACCCTCACCTCCCGCCACTTTCTCAGGAGAACCTTAGTCAAGGACTGGAACTCAAGCAGAGGATGCGCAAGATCCTGTAGTGACGAGCTCTGCATCAGGTTGTACACTGCCTTGATAAGACCGAGATCCTGCAAGCGCTTGATGAATTTTGACCACTCTTCCATCGCAGGGTTGTTCGCCTTCGTGATGTTGGTGTCGCTGGATACAGCGTCGCGGATCATGGCATTGATGAGCATGAGGGCATTGGCGCACAGCGCGTGGTCGGCGGACTGGAGCTGGGCGATAACGAGCTCAAAGAACTGCGGGTAGACTGCGACGGCGGGCTTCAGGGCTCTGAAACCAAAAGATCCCGGCGTGCGAGGGGTCGTCGGGCGAGAAGACTGTGTGTGGCCGACGAGGGCGACCAGGATCGACATAGCACCGCGCAAAATGTTGACAAGAGGGTTCGTAACGATCAATTCGACAATACGCTCCACGAGATCCCCTGACGACGATCCCTCAAATATCTCCCAGCCCATGTCTACTTCCAGTAGGCGCGTCAAACTCTGCAACGAGTACGCCAACGTGTTTCCTCCCGCACTCATAATCAGGCGTCGTAGAATGACCAGGCCTCCCGAGGATATGAAAACGTCGGCAAAGGCAGGGTCGTTTATAGAAGACTGCAGCTTGAAGACGGCCATTTTCCTGGCGGCGTCCTCGTCGCTCGCGAGGCGCGACAGAAGCGCGGGAATATCGGCCTGATCCATGGTAGCGGCGTCGAGAAGGTATGTACAGGTTCGGAGCGGGAAGGAAGAGCGTCGGTGCTGTGACCGATTGTCGAACAGAAGGTCGTCAGCAGTTGGAGTACAGAGTCGCGTCCGTCGTAGTCATGGCCCACGGCTGTGAGAGAGAGAAAGCGCTCGGGTCGGGTTATATAAGGCAAAGGGTATCGGACGGAAGATCTCGAGGATTGGCGGAAGAGGGTCCGTGTCAAGCAAGATGGAACACGGGCAGAAGCTTCTCTGTAGATCCCTCGCAAATGTGGACGGAGGGAATGGCGTCGATCGTGGGTATAAAAAAAGAATTTTAGGATGCTCCGTCGACAAGGGGGAAATAGTGTACACAGAAGGGTCAAGGAAGGATTGTGAGGGTGGTGTAATTATTCGTACACTAAAAAAGGGGAGAGAAGGAGACGGGACGGGAGAGAAGAGTGTGCGTCGAGGGCTGTCGAAGCAACAGACCAGTTGTGTTGACTTTGGTCCGCGTTAGATGCGCACGGGCGGGAAGTTTGCGCATGTCCTGCAGGAGGTGGGAAAGCACAGATGCAGCGACAACGGGGAGGATCCCAGCAAGCCTCCAACTGATTTGGGGCCGTTTTGGGGTTCACTTTCACCACAGTCAGCCGGTGTTGCACCAATGGTGCTGCACGGCTTGGTCTTCTTTGCTCCACCTCTCTTCTCGGGGATGTTTTAGTGGATTTTGGGGGGGGGGGGGGGGTTTGCTTGGCTTCAAGTCCGAGAGTGACTGGGACGGCGGGACTGCGGCGACTGGTCGGCAAGTGAGATAGCGTCCAACGACTGGTTTCACCATGTCTTCCCACCGGAGACCGTGAATATTTTCATCATCTCTCGGAAGGAACCTTATTGAGATTGTTCAGCGACGCGCGGGTTTGTTGATTTTCCATCTAAGTGTGGTCTCGTGACCTGAGGTTAGACTGTACACCTCGGAATTTTGACTTCTGTCGACAAGTCATCATCATCGGATGAGTGAACCTTTAGTTACGGTGGGCAGAACATCATTTAGTCTAGCAGACGCACAAACGAATCTGAAAGCCGGTCCATAGCATTAGACCAAAATGATGATCCCTCTGTTGGCGTCTTTCAACTAGTAGTCCGATATCATTGGGTTGAGGAGAACCCAGTGTTTCAGATGAGGAGCTCAAGAAGCAACTTATCGAAGCCAGCATTGCAATGAGGTCGAGCAAGGCGTTTTGATTGGTATCAAGCCTCTATGGCCTGTTTAGATGAGGGGAACATTGAATTGTGCCAGAACCGAGGATCATTGTCTGGACCTGGAATGAGAAAAAGCCGTTGTAAGGCTGACCTGGGAATGTTTGGATTCTATCGTAAAACAACGAGAAACCACACAATTCGCCCAAAACGTTCTAGACCATCGGCTGGCAACGCCGGTACGTACTCTGTTTATTCCAGTCCCTGAACACAATCAGCGGGGTTCCATAAGCAAGAACTGCCTAGAACCCACCACTGCTCGAGCCACACGTTTCTAGCCACAGGCCGAGCTCCAGCCTCAACATTACTAATCGTCGTGGCGCGCGAGGCTGCTAGAAATTCCAACCTCTGGCCCGTCGCATTTGTCGCGCCGCAAGCAAGCCCGTTTCCGCAGCTCCATCAAAAAACGCGGCCGCCAAACGAGACAATCGAATTTCTCCCTCCCAACGAGCAATCAAGCATCTAGAACCATCGTCCATCACTTCACCACGCGGGAGTTACATATCAGATACAAGCACACTCGAAACCCACAGCGCGACGACAGTCTTAAACCGCAACCATGGCCAACTTCCTCGCCTCCATCTTCGGCACGGAGCTCGACAAGGTCAACTGCTCCTTCTACTTCAAGATCGGCGCTTGCCGCCACGGCGACCGCTGCTCGAGAAAACACGTCAAGCCCAGCTACTCGCAGACCATCCTCATGCCCAACCTCTACCAGAACCCGGCCTACGACCCAAAGAACCGCATGAACCCGTCCCAGCTGCAGAACCACTTTGACGCCTTTTACGAGGATATCTGGTGCGAGCTCTGCAAGTACGGCGAGCTCGAGGAGCTCGTGGTGTGCGACAATAACAATGACCGTGCGTCGTCGTCCTCTTCTTCCTTCCCTCTCACCCATTCTCTAGTGGTCTTAAGAAGATGATCGTATACTAACCAAAGACACACAGACCTCATAGGAAACGTCTACGCCCGCTTCAAATACGAAGACTCTGCCCAAAAGGCCTGCGACGACCTCAACTCGCGGTGGTACGCCGCCCGCCCCATATACTGCGAGCTCTCCCCCGTCACCGACTTCCGCGAGGCCTGCTGCCGCCTCAACTCGGGCGAGGGCTGCGTCCGCGGCGGCTTCTGCAACTTCATCCACCGCAAGAACCCCTCCGAGGACCTCGACCGCGACCTCACCCTCAGCACCAAGAAGTGGCTCAAGGACCGCGGCCGCGACGAGAGGAGCCCGTCTCGCTCGCCTACCCCCGAACCCACGCGCCGTCGGTACTAAAGAGCAAGAAAGGGATGGTAATTCGGTTCAGGGGAACACAACGATTGGGAGCTGTTTGTTTGAAGCGTATCGTTGTCGTATGAGGCGGAACAGAGCGCGACGGTTCCAAACGACAAAGGATGCGGACGATGATCAAACTCTGGCATTGAAGCTCGGCTGAGCAAAACAAACCAGGCTGTTTGGAGGTTGCCGGAAGCCGGGCCGCCGGGCATTGGCATGTCGTATCATGTCACGACAGGTCTAATCGCAGAAGGAGGAAGAGGAAGACGAAGAGTGCAAGGCGAAACCCCCAGAAATTGAGAATTTGATACCCATCCCCCGTACCTGTCTCAAAGGGGTGGATTGGAAGACCAAATAAAAAAGAGGGTGAGAGCGGCGTTTATGGCGTTTCCGGGATGGGCTGGGGTACTATGGGAGAAACTCTTGAAAGGGCAGAGCACCATGTAACAAAACATGTGAGATTAAGTAGTGCCTCCAAATCGAAGAGCAACTACGACCCCTGCATCATCATCATCAACCCTTGCCTCGAATATTGGGGGTGAATCATGTCCAAAAAAACTTCTCCGCAGTTGAGTGCCGTTATTACTGAGCAGTAAGCAATGCTATACATATCTACAGAGGTATCCCTTTTCTACCAAACCCCTTCCCCGGGTGTTCGCCAATGCAAAAGCTTTATAGTTTGTTACCCCCCGACCAGCCTCCCTTTCCTCCATCCCCTCTAGCCAGAGATCCGCCTCCCATGGTGAATTAATGTGATGTTTGGCAAAAAAGGGGTTCGCCAGATGGGGTGGGAGGGGAAAACAAAAACCAGAGGGACGGACGTGCGTCCTAGAATAGCTTGGCTCTGATCTACTCCAAAGCATCATGGAAGCTGTCGTTACTCTCATCGGCTCTCTTCAGCGGCGGTACGCTCTTCTTCATGTCTGTGAAGTCCATCAATGGTCCCTCTTTTGCTTGCGTTCCGGTGCTGTTGAGCATCCCTTCGATGTCCTTGGATCCACTCCGCGCCTCCTGAGCTGCCGGAGGAATACCGCTTGGTGGCTGAACAGCAGGCGCAGTTGCTATTGGGGCTGATGGAGTGGTAGCTGGCGCGTCGCCGAAATCGATCAAGTCATTGCCTCCAACATGTTGCTGAGCGACCGGAGCGGGGGCCGGGGCCGGGGCTGGGGCCTCTGCTGTCGCAGAGGGCTTATGGGGAGGAATGGCGTTTGTCGTAGAAGGTTTCTGGCCCGGAAGAATAGGGTATATGGCCAAAATTTGCTCAGTCTGCTTCTCTGGGTTCGTGTGGTCACTATTTTGTGTCAGTATTTCTTGATCCGATGTGAGAGTTAGATGTACTCACATGTGAGCATTGATGATCCACTCCAGCTCTTCCTCGCCCTCTTCAGGACCACCCGGGCCGCCCTGAACAGCTCTGAAAAGCCTAGGCTTCCATTCAACGCCTTCGCGAGCTCTTGTCTCGCGTTCCTCGCGTTGTCTGTCCTCAACCTTGGTCTTCTCGTCCGTCGCAAGCTCATGGTTGCGATCCTTTACGGCCTGAGCTGTCGGTGCCCAGAGCTTCTGAGATTCGCGCTCATCCTGCTCTTCGATGGGCCGCACCAGGGGACTGCTGGGCTTCGACCGTCTAGCGTTGAAGAACATCTCCTTATGACCGGTCTGAGGCTGTCAGCAACGTGTCAAAACTGCAGCATCATCCTGAACCTACCTTGACATCCTTGACAAACATCTCATCGTTCCAAAAGCCCGAGAGCTCGTAAAGGACCTCGCCTGTGCTCTCATGCTTGATTGAGCCACCAATCGCATTATAGGTACCGCTGACCCAGCCCTTCACCTTGAACTCAATGTCGGCGACCAAATCGAGCTCTGGGCACCGGACAAAGCTGTGGTCGCCAAGCTCATACTTCATCTTTCCAAAGAGAATGCCTCGAGCGTACATGTTTGGCTGTGTCAAGATACTGGTCTCAAGGTCAGCGTATTATGTCACGAGCGGATTCCTAGCCAACATACTATCGTTCGCCCTTTGTCTTGTCCTTGCCCCTATTCAGGAACGACAAGACCGCTGTACCCTCCATCAAGCTCGCCGCCGAGTTTCCGAGAAACTTGCTCCTGGGCTTGAGTGTGCCATCAACACGGATGTTGTGCTCGGGGACCATGTAGAAGTAGCTAGACTTGGGAGGGTGATGCGATGTTTGCTCGGAGATGTAGTATGCCCTGGTGTTATCGGGCAAATCCCAGTAGCAGGAGAAAACCTCGCCGAGGATCGGGTTCAGGGGTTTCTTCACTCCTCTGGATACAGGTTAGCAACGTATACGGCTTATACGGGTGGCTCGGAAGAACCGACGGTGGTTTAATATGCCATCCACTGAGGTAGAACTTGACAACGGAGACGAATCGTAGTACAGGGTCGTCGATCTCGGGTATAGGGAGGAGCATTTCGGGGTGGCACATGAAGCTACGACAAACGCACATAGTCAGCGAAGGAGGTCTCATAACCCGCATCTTTTTCGGAGACTACTGACTTTGTAATCCTCTCGAGCATACTACGGGGCTCAAGAATGAAGGTCGGCAAAACAACGCGACTCAAGTCAGCTCCCGGACGAAGCTGGGAGATGATGTGGCCGAGCACTGGACTCCATGTTAGCCGAGTGCGCGTGAAGCACCCCGCGAGCAGGCAAATGCGGGCGCAACGTTTCTTGCAGAGGCTTCACTCACCGTTGCCCTGGTCGGCCTCGACCACAGTCGTGTCGTCATCTTCAGCAGCGCCTCTGGCCTCGTCGATGCTCGAGCGATTGCTAGCTGGTGGGTTGGAAAGCCAAGAGGTCAGCATGGTTGGAGGCAACTTTTTTTCTTCGATTTGCGCACGACAGAGGTTTGGAGAGTGGGAGTGGAGGCTTTTCGGCTCCCGGAAGACGCCAGAGCCAAGGTACGCGACTAGGGAAACAAGCAGGGTATAGGGAAACGGGCAACGGGCCGTAAGGGTATGTAAAGGGAAAAGGGTGTTAGAAGGCGCGCGAGTTTGCCGCTGTATGAAGTCCACAACAGGCGCGACGAGGAGGGGACGACTGGTATTATCCAGACAACGGACCAGGCAGTGACGCTAGGGCTGGTAAGACTCACTGAGGCTGGAGGCTCTGGAGCGTCTTCCTGGCACATGGACCAAACCCATGACTGCGACTGGCTCTTGGTGGGCGGTGGGTGCAGCGATGCCCCTCAGTTGTCTTTCAGACCGCTATCGGTCTTATCGGCGCGGTGCCCGGGATGTGCCTTCTTGCTGGAATGAGGGGCAGTGCTCCCCTAAAAGGCGTCTGCGGGTTGCTTGAAGCTGCAAGTAGGGGTAGAGTCGGCAAGTAAAGGATGGGGCCTCGCAGCCCGGTACGTAGTCGAGCGAGAGCGAGGGGACGGCAGTGAAGAGTGGCAGCAGTTGAACAGTGGACTTTGTGGGAACCTGTCGTACTAAAAGTAGTTGTTGGTCGATAAAGCCGAAGATGGTTTGAGTTCCTCCGGGGCAAGGGTTTGCTGGCGAAGGAAGCGTCGGGAGGATAAAGGTTGGGGACGTATCAGTCGGATGCAAAAGTGGGAAAGAAAGAAGTCGGGTTTAATGATGTTGAGTTTAGAGAGGCGAAGAGTTGGAGAGAGAAAAAGAGGCCCGCTTGGCGAAGGGCACTGGCGGGAGGAAAGATGACCTATCGATGTCTCACTCGCTTGCTGTTTTCGATTGGGCGTTGCCGCCTCTGACAACCTGAGCTGGAACGTAAACCAGAGCTGTAGAGAACAAAATGGATAAAAAAAGGTAGCTGGGCGCCCACTGGGAGACCGGGCGAAGCGGAAAGGGTGAGGCGGATGTCAGATGAAGGTCGATGGAGGTAGGTAGCTGTTCCAGGTTGTTGGTTAACCAAGGAACGGCCGGAATTTGAGAAGAGACTGAGGTCAAAGATGAGTTCCCATGTCTGAAGTCGTAAGGAAGGAGCACAAGACCGTGTACAATGTAGTTTGGTGACACAAGATGACGATTGCCTGGTAGATTCCTTAGCAATTGTCAATGGCGAGAGCAGATTGGTGTCAAAACGAGGCAACTTTGGGTAAGGTCGTAGACGGAAGCTACCTCGACGCCTACCTTAGCAGTTCTTAGCTACCTGTGATGGTCAGCACCAATCCAGTCGCCAGTGGCCTGGGCTGGGCTCCCATGCAGTCCTTACGTCGCTGATGTACGGAGGGGACCCCACAACGGAGGACAGCGGAGGAGGAGGGGTGATGACGTCGCGCCATTCATTGGAAAACTTTTTTTTTGTCCATTTCTCCAATGCCATCATGTTCCATTAGCTCCGTGCACCGCTACTTTAGCTGCCTACCTCGCCGTGCTTTCCCCAACCTAGCTGTCATCATCTCTAAAGTCCAGTGCAATGGTACCCAAGAAGAAGCCTAAAGTAGCCCGACAAACCCGAACCACCTTATGAAGAGTCACTCAAAACACTGGGGTGTTCATCTGCACTTCCGCAATATTTCCCACAAGTGACAACGGGCGGGGAGGAGCGAGCGAGCCATCGAGATGCCAACCCGCGCATCCGCATCTGTTCGCACGGGAGTGTCTGTCACCCCAGCTTCCCCCCCCCCTCCACTCCTTTCTTCCGTCCCATCCCATGTTCAATACCATCAAATGCTGTGCTACCCTGCACCCAATCACATGCCCGCCGGCTTCTCTTCATAAGCCAATCATGCAGTGAGCGACTCCCCCTTCTGTTCAAAATGCTTGAATCCCTCGCCCACTACACGGTGCGCCCTGCTGCAGGGTACTAATTATTGAGACTTATGCGGAAAGGTATCTCATCTTGAGGACCTGGCCCATCTCGCGTCTATTTTATACATGAAAGCTTTCGACCAAATCATATGTATCTACCCAAATGAAATGCTCTACAACGAGCTAGCAATTGTCTATACGTGCATATGTTAGGTACCTAAGGGAAGCATCCCAGTTGAAGATGGAGAGGAGAACGCCGAACAAG